TTGTCGATAATTCTTCTTAATCACTTCCAGAATTAGCTAAATGGTATAATTGATAAATTTTCAAACTCGATTTTCTCCGAAACGAATGTTTTATCAACGAAAAAATTCTATTCTTTCTTTTCCACTCATATTTTCAGCTTCTACTCGGTTGTATCGTTACAGGACTCTCTGTATAACGGACAAGTATAATTTGAACGAAACGCGAACGTAAAAGAACGCAGGGCCTTTCCCACGAAGAAAAGTAGGAAGTTTCAATATTTTTAACGGCGAACGAAATTTCCCGACTTTTGACCAACGAAACCTTGTCGACCTGATCCTCCCCGCGTACGTGGACGCTGTGCGAAACGAACACACGGAACTTTTTATTATGGGACGTCGAAGTCTAGTATCCGCGGTAGTATGTCCCGTAACTCTTACCGTCAAATGAAATTTCTAAGAAACTTCGATGCGCTTCGTTGAATCGAAAAATCTACCGGTCCGACGTTGCATCGACCTGTCGAGATAAAGAACGGAATTTTAATCATTTATTTGCCACTATTCTCGAACGACAAATTCTTGTTAGAGCTCGGCTTCTACACTATCCGACAAAAAGATAGCACACCAGGAAATTTTTGAAATTTCTGTATTCACACTCAAAGTATTACAAGCATTTAATGATATTCATATACACTCGAGAAACGTAATAATAAAATAATATATGTAAATAATAATTGTCCTTTTTGCTTCTTGAATGCCGCAAGATATAAAAAAACTGATTGAAGAATAAGAGTAAGGAGCATGTCAATTGTATTGGCCGAGTAAATTATATTCTTCGACAAGATAATGCATTCATTCATAAGGCAGGAATTGTAAAATCCTTTTTTTGCATCCGAAAACACATATATCCGTGCTCGATTGTCCTGCAAGGTCTTCTGACTTAAACAATCTCGAAAATTGTTGGGGAGAGCTTTCACGAGCTGTTTATACTGATTATCGCCAATTTATATAATTTATTTTATTATATAGCATATATATACATAATAAAATAAATTATAATATATATATATATTTATTATATATATATACATATTTATTATAATATATTATAATTTATTTTATTACTACGCTTCAGGAGTTAAAAGATTGCATTTGGCGAGAATGTGTCAAACATCCACAAAGAATAATAAAAACTTTGTATAAATCGTTACCCAATCGAATGGTGGAAATTATACAAAATAACGGAGGCTCAACACATTATTAAGTATCCACGCAATGCAGATTTGATTCTTATTTGTTTCAGGAAATTTCATTTTTCTACCGAGTCACTTCAAGTGTGCTATCTTCTCGCCGACCATAGATATAACAATTGTACGAGGAAGCAGAAAGGACAATTATTATTTACATATATTATGTTATTATTACGTTTCTCGAGGAAAATCTATATATGAATATCATTAAATGCTTGTAACACTTTGAGTGTAAATACAGAAATTTCGAAAATTTCCTGCGCCATATTTTCGCCCGACAGTGTATATTGCAAATTTCGACAATGGGACACGCGACAATGCGAAGAAACGATCGAAGACGCCGAGACGGCAATTAACCATCCGGTCGGCGAGTTTTCCTAGTCAACTGGACGGGACAAAGGAAAGTTTGTACGTGCGAGACAGGCAGGCCTGCTCTCGTTAAATTTGTAAATGAATCTGGCACAGATTACGCGGCTAAATTTCAAATGCGAGGAAACTCGCGGAAACTGCTGGCAATCCAGCCTCCTTCGATAAATGTAAACGAAAACAATCGCAGCGACGGTGACGGCGTAGAAGGCAAGGGAGTGGCATCGCGGCGACGGAATTAACAAGTCTGACAAATCGGTCGGAATGAATTTAATGGAGCAAACAATACGCGTCAATCCCCTCGTTAAGCTTGTAATCAAACTTTTTTCATTTCCCTCCGTGTCTCCGTCCCTTCAACGTTCACGTTTCTTCAAACGAGTTCCGATTGCTGTTTCAATGCGATCTTAAAAATTGGAAATTATTTCATATTATCCCTTTACTAACGCAATTTCTGCATATTTCGAAATTGTCGTAATGTCTGTGTGTGTTTGTTACGTGGGAGTTATCTCCGATTTCGATATTATTTAATATATTATTCATTTATAAATAAATACATGTGAAAGTACATCATTTATTTGTATCTTTATTTATGGGCTGTATCATTATTGTGTAAAAAAGAGACATTCAGTTGTTCATAAGAAATGTAAACAGCATAGACAAATGCAAATGATGTTCGGAAAAATTATTGTATTTTTCAGTGAACTCGTAATTTTTTCATAAATAACAACATAACGCTACTCAGGATGATAACTTTTGACAACATATTAAAAATCGAAAATAATTCCTTTTTTTTTGTAAATGATTATCTATTTTTATACGAGTAATACACACAAAGGGTGGATGCAAGCTGAAGTATCATTGAAACTATTAACTACGTAAAAAAATATTTCAGACGAGAGTTGAATTATTTCGAGGGCAACGGATAGGGGTGACACAAAGGTCGTGTACGCTCTTTCAAACAGAATTATGCAAGATCGCCCGAATTTAAATGTCAAAACTTCAGGAGCGTTTGAAGATTTAAAGATTTACACGTTTTCGCTCCATTTCAGAGAAAATCGCGAGGAAAGAAATAAAAATGTTTTTGTTTTTTCATTTATTTATTTACACTTCTTTTATCATCCATGTTATCGTTTTGTAATATCATTCATTATTATCTAATGTATATCATCTATTTAATAAAAATACTGTTCAAAATACTGGCCTTTTGCCACTCTGATTGCAGCTAGACATTGTTCTGATGATGCTTGGTGTGTTACAGCTACAATTTGATCTTCCACCCTTTTTATTTTCTTGAGTTGATTGGCATCGAATGAACTTACTGAATAAGTGAGAAAATGAAAATTTTTTTGTTTCTTTTTTCGCAATTTCCTCTGAAGTTGACCTGAGGAAATCTCTGAAGAATTAATAATAATACTACGTAACATTTCATTCATAATTCGGTTTATTTCACAAAAATATAATCTTATGTATATCGAAAAAGCATTTGTTTCGCAGATATATTAATTTTAATTTCGTGAAATCTATCGTAATCAATATTGTAAGATAAAAAAAAAATATTGTGTTTACTTGTCTCCATTGGTTTCTTAATTAAAATTAAAACACATCCATTGTTTTTTTTTTTTTATATAAGTTAGATAATTACATTGAAATGTATGTAATAAATTTAATTACGAAAATAAAATTGATCTTCATATATTCTCCGTCATCATACGCGGAATAATTAATTACATCAAATTATATCCTCCACGAAATAGAACAAATCTCCTCAACAGTTCCTCGTCAATAATTGATTGAAACAGTTAACCATATAATTAATAATTTGGAAAATATTTTGACCTCCAATTTTAGGTGGTTCACTCGGTACATTGAGAGTAGCGTGTTATTCAATCTTCACCAGGGAAGAATTAAACACTGATGGATGAATGACGTTTTCGCCGAAATTGTTGCCAAAGTACTCTCAAATGCGAAAAAGCAATCGTATCGCGTTTGCACTACGAAGCCTAAAATCTCCTAAATCTCCCCTTTCTTTTTGCTTAGTTTCTCGTTCGAGATGATAGGAAAAAGGAAGAGCGAATGTTGGTAAATAGCTCCGACAAGGTTTTCGTTGCGCTTCGAACTCGGAAGCTTCAAAAATGAACGAAATCCGCGAATTCGTGACAAGAATTTATAATGTAACGAGGGATCAGCAAATGAACGGGGCGGCTACGATCGATCGAGTTTTCTGGCCTGTGACCTTATTCTGCGAAAACCTTTACCAAAAATCACGCCTTCCTTATTTCTGCGGTCGAAAATTTACGACCTTCAACGCGTTATAAATCTCGAACTCGCGACTTACGGAGCAACCGTAATTTCATTATTTACGTAGTTCGCGCATCCGTCGGAAACCACCAACGCGTTATCGAACGCGTAATTAATCATCGACCAAGCGAAATACTGTCTTCTTCTTTCTTTCTTTTTTTTTTTTTTTTTTTCTTCTTTCACTGCATCGACTGACAATGAAGCACCGGTAAGAACACGGTCGTGGGAGAAAAGAAAAATTACGTTTCGACACGGTAGAAACGTAATCGTCGTAGCGAACGACGATCCAACGAATAAGTTGGCGAATTGCCGTTTTAATTGGACCGTGGAGCGTTCCGAACGAAATGATAGAACACGTCCGCCACGATGATCTTTATCTTAATTGTCGATAAAGCCCGGAAATGCGTCGATAGAACCGGGACCTGTTCACCGGCCGTTTCAGCCATTGGATTACCGATCAGAAAACCAGCGAAGCCCGGCCTTTAATAGTTGCAATTGTTGGAACACGTGGAACGATAACCGGTCCTCGCGTGTCTGGCAACTACGAAACGTCAAGCGAGCTCGTGAGATTGTGCATTTTCCACGTAACGATCGTGCGCCGAACGATAGGCCGCGGGGAGATAACTTATTAGCTTGCATTAACGCTATTGCGGATCCAAATCACAACGATTCCCGACCGTTCAAGGAGAGAAATTACTGTATTTCTCTCGCAGATCGGGAGAAATAAAAGCCGCTGTGCAGAGCTCGAACGCGTGTACCTACAATTTTTCGAAGAAACAATTTGCAATGGTCGCCGAGCGTAATATTACACGTATTCTTGATCAAATTAACTTCCCGTTTATCCTGGCTCGATCGGAAAGTTCCCTGTGCTTTCGAATTTGCGTCCACGTTCGTTCAGCAATGAATTTAGTTCCCTTAATTTAAGAAACACATCGTGGCAACCGAAAATCCAACTTGGGGAGAATGGAGCGCGAGCGAATTGAAGTGAGAGTTAATAAAGACAAAGTTTTCGTTGGCAACGTTCAGCCGGAGAACAGCACAAAACGCTATGCATACTATCATCGTAAGAAGTTCCCTTTCCGCGGGAAACTTCTTTTCTGGCAGCTTGTGAAATTCAATTCTGTCGCGGCTGTTCCCGCGTCTGCGAAAACTACATTTTCGAAAGTATTTCCCGTGAACGTCAGATATGGTCGATTCAGATTTTAAACAACGTACTTGCCCATGAATTAGTTTTGTAATTTGCGTGTATTCGTGCCTCGTAACGATATACGTGTGTACATCTACAGTGTAAAAAATATCCGTACAGTGACTAGAATGCAGAATAATCATATTTATCGAACAAACATGGTACATCTATTCTCCAAAATCTGTAGAACAACAGTAAAAAGTCAAATAAATAAAAAAAGTACTGTTTATATAGATATGAAGAAAAATGAACAGAATGACAGAAATGAACGCGCAATATGTATTCGTACAGTTCTATTGTCATTATCAAGTGTACGAGTAATTTAAACATTTATAATAGAAACAACAAGTAATTGTAAAATTAATATGTATAATTAATATTTAAGGTTTCCCATTGATTTTATTATTGCAGCTAGCCTTCTAGGTATTAACCAAATTATATGTGATACGTAATGATCGCAGCGGTTGTACTATTATTCGATTCATTGAAAACAATCCGAAAATGAATGCAACAAAGATCGCTGAAGAGTATATCCAAGATTATCAGTTTTGCATAAAAAGCAAGGAAAATATTTCGGTTTCCATACATTAGATCGACTTTACAAAATTGGAATAATAATTCTTCGGCGTACATATTTAATGCTTATCAACGAATAAATCAAAAAATATATGATTCCATTTAGAACAAAGTGAAAGTGACTGTGATATATCTTTGAAACCTTTGCATCTAAAAAAGATTGATCGCCGCCATATTGTAATCCCTTTGTCACCGAATAATTTTCATTAATCCTTTCCGGTCCGCGCAATTTTCATTATTTCGTTCCAACTAGTCCACGCTACATTGACAGTTTCGTATCAGCCGATTGGTATCGATTACTTTGCGAAATTTACGAACAAGACGACATAATCACATTAAATAATGTAATTATTTTATTCAATTTTTTTGAAATTCACGTTTAATATCGCGTAATCACTGTCACCACTTTCGATCAGTTGCCTCTGTACGTTGTCTCCCTCTAGCCTTTGTCTGGTCAAAATTCTTAAATTGAATTTTGGATTTTTGTGAGAAATAAGACTTACTAATCTAAGAATTCTATCCGTACGTCAAGACGGTTTCGAAATCACTAACAACAAGCGACTTCTTCCGAAAACCATGAGATATACAAAATATACGACAACTCTATCCAGTCTCAATGAAACAGCATCGACGAGCAAACTCGAAACGATATGCGTTGTTCGAGCCGTACTCGACATATAACCGCAAAGGATTAACAGCATTTTTTTTTTCTGAAGATCTTCGGAAACAGACGAGACACTCTGTAGAGCGTATAGTTTACGCTCTTTTGGCACCGCGACACGATCGTGGCCTTTCCGCTGTCTTACCATTTAATTTAAACCATCTTTACACCGCGCCAATATTCCTTCAAGCCCTAGGCGAAAGTCGAAACCAAACACAAGTTTGTCAGTATCCAGTATTGCCGCAAACGATGGCGGTTTGTATGCAGTAGCGTAACGCGAAGCCAGGCCAGGCCGAGGATGCAGTCTTTGCCATTTACACGAGCTGCAAAGCAGCGCGTTTCCTCTCATTAGGTGTACTTAATTAGAAAACTTGTGCGGCGTACGGCACGCGAGTAAATCTCTCTGTGACAACGCTCGGTTACTTCCGTCGTGATACATAACCTTTTCCCCCCCCCGAGTTTATCAGCGAGAATGCACGATGCTTTGTTCTCGATCCGACTCGTTATCCACCACCTCTCTTCTCGGCGTTCTGTCGTTGAACGTAAGCAGACGCGCGATCGCTTCTCGCTGCGATACAATTTGCGAATGTTTGTCGAATGTGGTTTAGCAGACTTGTTGTTACTTTGATTATCGAGCTGAAACGAGGCACGAGGTACATGATACCGGTTACACAGAATTGACGTGTTTTGTGCATTGCGACATTGATCATTGACGCGGCATCGTTCAATGAAGAGGACGTTGAACCTAGGTCGATTTAACCACTGGAACTACCGACGACCGAAAGTATAATATTTGCAGCAAAGAAATTGAAGTGCAAGGTACAAGAAAGAATTAATAACACAAGGAAGAACACAAGCTTCTATTAATATATTTTGTTAAAAATCACTCGAGTATTTAAAAATAAATACTGTTATAAATGTATAAAATTTCCATAGAGAATTATAAATATATTTTGGTAATTCTGCTGTTAAACAAGGGCTCGACTAACAATAAGTTCGATCGAACTTTTAAATAGATTCTATTTGAAACGCGGATCTTTCTTGTAGAACTTTCTCGAAAAATGTTTCGTAAATTACAAGTCCCAATGACTACAGATAAATAAATGTTCTTGAAAATTAAGTAAGGGTAGAAATTTTTTTGTCGGAGGAACAGATAATTTGTTTATCAATGTTAAAAAATGTTTTCAATATTTGTAATGTCAATGAATAGTACTCGAATGTAAAACTGGATTTTTAATTAAATGTTCTAAAATAACGTTTATTATACAGATTCTAAAATGGGAACACTATTCCTAAGTGTAATACTTCTTTCTATAAAAATTTCACAAGAAACAGGTGTTCTCGAACAATTCCGATTCCTGCTTTAAACTTGTTAGCTTTCATTTTTGAATAAAATTGGCGAGAAGCTCGGAATAAAATTTCGGAAGGCCTCGACGACGAATCGATATGAAATTTTGAAGGAATGAAAGTGGGAGGGGGAAGACACGAAGTATAAAATTTTAACTTCCTGATATTTATTAGTTTCCAAGATATTAGTAAAAAAATTCCGATACAATATATGTATTGAATTCCGTGCATACAGATCTGTATAGTTGTAGTAGTCATTGTTGGCAATTGTCAGTTGTCAGATAGACGATGCAACAGTAATATCGGTCTCAGTATCGGGAACATATATGTATATAACACAAATCCAGTCTCAACTCTTGCTTTTGTAACGCGAAAAAATGAAAAAAAAAAAATTCATGTCTGAAAACAAAATTTAACCAAATTATTTAGTGGGACATCCTATACTGAGGCCGATATCGCTATTGCGTTATCAGCGTGTGTCATGTAACAACCATCGACAGCGAGGACTGTTGTATTAATACACAGAATTCAATGTTTTTATTAATATCTCGAAGACTAACAAATACTCGAAGCTAAAATTTTATATACCGGGACTTTTTGAAACTACAGCCGAATTTTTCTACATTTCTGTGTTAAGGAGCCAGGCGTAAAAATTACGAATAATTTGGAGAGCTAATAAAAGAAAAGTATATATTTGATTGACATGAGCTTTTGTAGTTTATTTTAATACATTATGAACACGAAAAGCAACATTAAAAAAGAAAGAAAGAGGGCTCTTATTTAACGGCATCCTTTTACATAACTTTTCTTTACATTGCCTATCGGTGTGCATGATTCCAGCCAAACAGGATTAGCTGTAACAAAAAAGGCAAGAAAAGTACAAAAGTAAACAATATTCTCTAGGGATTGACGATCCAACATTTTCATTTTTGTGAAACTTATGAAAATAGCAGCTTGTTTTGATGTATCGAATTTATGCCAAAAATTTCTACGTTTTTTGCTTATATTTTTCGACATTGTTAAAAATTTAAAAATGTTCGATCGTCGATCCCTAGTAAATGTTACACTAAAAACACGTGTCAAGTTTCACAGTAATCGGTTGGTTAGATTCCGAGACATCTCTACACACCGTTTCTAAAAACCCAGTTTCGAGAAAAACGTGTTTAAAGTTTCAGAACGTCCTTTACTTATTTTTTTTACTTATATATCACGGCTCACAGTTCTTACAATTCACAATTAAATTGAATCCAAGTCCTTTAATATTCGATTCACCAAAAGTAATATTTGAATCACATGATTCACACTTTATAATACTGCTTAAAGTTGTAAACAGTGATA